CGGAGAGAGAATAGCCTGGAATACCTAAGGGCGGCAAATATCTATAGCTCGGAAGGAGGCTGTTTTGGAGGGAAGCGATCAGGAAGGCTTTTTTTTTTTTTTTTTTTTTTTTTTGGAGAGAATAGCCTGAAAATGTAGCTATAGGAATGTCTATGGCAGATAGCTATAGCTGGGAATGGTTCTGCCATGGAGAAAGAACAGGGAATGACTTTTAGAGGAACAACCGAAGCCTGTTTTCGCGTTCAGAGGAACAACCGAGCCTGTGTAGCTCAGTTGGTACACCCATGAGCTGTTGAAATACAGACCTGAGTTCGAATCCTGGCGGACCTAGTTGAATGCAACGAACGGGGAATGACTTTTCTGGCTTTCACAGCCAGCAGCAGCAACTGACAATTGCTTTGTTACAAGTTGTCGGAGGAGAGGAGGTCTTCGGAATAGCTTTGTGAATAGCGAGAATTGTGACGAGGGTGGGATCAAGGAAATGCCCTGGGGGAGAGAAAGAACCTGGAACTACTCTTGGAAGGAAGAGTCAACTTTCTTATTCTATTCGTAGCCTCATAGGGACATAGCCCTGTCTATAGGCGTATTCTGTGTATAGTTTGTCCTATCCATCGATCTAGTACTCGACGGTCGCAATACGTTTACATCTGTGTCTCCACCTCTACCGTTAGCTTTATCTCTAGTATTATGTCATCTATAGCTATGTCCATTTATCTATCCATCGCTCTGTCTATCTCATACAGTGAGTTTATCTAAGTTCTAAATTCTAATGATCTAATCTTATATCTAACAATTTATCTGTTTATCTACCTCCAGCTGGAAGGATGTACCCCCCCCCCCACCCCTGACTGAGCTAGCCTTCCAGCTTCCTTTCCTCTTCTTTTCCCTTTTTTTCTCAGCTTCCTTTTCTCAACCCGCGATCCTGCTTCACGGGTGTCGTGAAATTCATCCATCCTTCCAATGTGATGTACCTTTCTAACACTCCTACTTTGTCCTGTAGTCCATCATCTCTTGTTCCTTCCTGGTCTCTATAGTGATGCAAAGCTGAGGTTGGCTTGAGTTTGGTATGCGGTGAAACGACTCTACCCCTTGATCCTCCCCTGCGTTTCCCGTCTCCATGCTCTCCTGTGGTTGATTTGGAAGAGGAGATGTGAATCGATCGACAACAACCAGTCCACTGGCTCAGGCATGGGATTGATTTCTCCAAACACTGGAAACATATCAACTTATCAATCTTATTTAAGTTCTAAATTCTTACCTATCTATCTTGTTGTTTATCTACATAGCTATCTATCTGTCTACCTACCTACCTACCTACCCCTCTGCCTCTCTACCTACCCCTCTACCTCTCTACCTACCTACCTACCGACCGACCGGTGTATCTATACCTAGCTATCTGTTCTACCTACTTACCTACTTACCTATCTACCTATCTACCTATCTACCTATCTACCTATCTGTCTACCTACCGACCTACTTACCTACCTATCTAGCTCCCCTGGAAGGAGCCCACTTGGGTCCTGAGATTTTGTTTGTGTTTCTCCACTGTGTTATCGGATGGCCAAGAGAGGGAATGTGTACTGAAACGTGGTTACCGTGGTTACATGCTCTCCAAAAATACGTCTTCCTATAGATAAGTCGGCCGTGATTTGGGACGCTGTGTGTTCAGCCAGTTTTATTTGCAAGGCCAATTATTATTTACAGAAACCAAGGTATTTATCTAATCATCGGTAATTGGTAATTTCCTTTTGCCAGGGACTAGTTCTTTTTTTCACCGCTTTCACGTTTTCAGCAAGACCTGGGCACTTTGCATTGCCTAGCACTCTCGCCTGACGGGAGGAGAAGGAAGGTGTACCCGAAAACCATCTTGCAGGTCTGGAAGGTAGCATATTCAACGTACGAGCAACCGCAATAACAAAAGCATAAACAGAGTGAGGTTGTTCAGCTACACTGGTTTAGTATGTAGTTCGAAGTTCTTTGTTCGAAAGGTGCCTCTTCTGTAAGATACGGTGAAGCTGGTGTTAGTGAGGTATAGAGATGAGGTCAGTAGTAGGGTTTGGTGGTAAGTGGGCCTTAGAAGGGGTTACCTGGGTATGAAGACGTGGCCAGTGGGGTTGAGATGGGGTCAGCAGGGTGTGAAGATGCAGTTAGTGGAGTTTAGGCGGAGAAAGGAGAGTGTGCGGATGTGGTTAGTGCGCTTTCGATGTGGTCTGGTGGTGGTCCTGGAGATGGGGTTTATTTGGTTGTAAGTATAGGAGAGTGAGATCAAGGCAATAGAGGCAACGAGGGGGCCTTGTGGGCGATAGTTGGGTGAAAAAAAGGGCGTCAAACAGGGAACGAAAGAGAGGAAGGGAGAAGGCATAAGGAGGGAGGGCTTCATAAGTCTTAACAAACTCTTAACTCAGTTCCATGTGTTTTTGACCAAGGTTGTTTGAGTTCATAAACTGAAATTTTTTTTTACGCATCTATTCTGTTCATGATGGCGACGTATGTGTTAACGATGTCTGCTTGGTGTCAGCAGTTATGCCAATTTCTGGCACGGATAACCACGTCTGGGATTTTGTTCCCGGAATGGATTGTGTTCCAGGTCTGGGATTTTGTTCCAGTTCATAGATAACTCCGTAAGTTCTTGGATAAGATGGGGGGGTGCACTACCAGGTCTGGGATTCTGTTCCAGGTGTGGATTTTGTTCCAGGTCACAGAACTTTCTCGGGTTGAACGGGGTGTGCTATACCAGGTCTGGGATTTTGTTCCAGGTCTGGATTGTGTTCCAGGTCTGGGATTTTGTTCCAGGTCACAGATAACTTTGTTAACTTCTCGACGGATTGATGGGGTGCAATAACCGGTCTGGATTTTGTTCCAGGTCTGGGATTCTATTCCAGGTCAGGATTTCATTTTTTCAGCTACATTTCATACCACCTCTATTATCCCTTCAGTAACCCCAGTTGCTAGTTCTGAGGGCAGTTTCTTTTTTTTTTCTTTTTTTTTTCCCTCGCTTCATTGATTCAATTTAACGGTTCAAGTTCCATTAACCCTTTAAGGTGTCGACCAATTTATATATTACTAGGGTTAACGAGGGGACCACTCCCATCAGCTCAGTTGTTACCACTGCCTGCAGTTTCGGATATATTTGAAACGACTCATACGGTAGGTACGTTTGTTGTCATTGACGACTCTTAGCATCGTCATCCTCAGTATCAGCATAGGATTAAAAGCCTTTTTTGAAGGGATAGTGGAAACATTAAGAAGATAATATTTTTTTTTTGCTGGTCTACGCATGTATGCAAAAATGAAGAATTTCAAGAATTTCAAGTTTTATGTCTTTTTCAGTCCCAAAAAAAAAACATTGACCAAGTGCATTCCGTGTGCTCAAAGTTGTAAACGTTATCATGTCCAGTCTCTTTTTTTTCAGATTGTTTTCCTTCTTTTTTTTTTTGTGTGTGTGTATGGGATGTTGTGCATGCACGCACGCCATTTCGCACTAGAACTGCGTCATGGTTGAGTTCTGACATGGATGTCAACACACTAGGGAATCCGGGCAGGGATGGTGAAGTCTGTCGACGATGAAACATGCTATCCGATGCAGGCAAGGCGTTTGTGAGTGCGTCGAAGCCATGCAAACGGAGTGGTTGCCATGCAGCGTGAACAGAAAGTATGATCAGTAGGCTGGAGGGCGTGGGGGAGTCGGGAGGGCAGACAAGACATAAGCACACAGGACAGAGAAGGACGGCGGCGGGAGGGCACGGGGGAGGCGGGAGGGCCGACGTCATGCAAGCACACTAAACGGGCAAACCAAAAAAAATGCAAGTCTCAACAAAATCGTACGACGGAAACAAACAAAAGCTGATGTTTCGTCAGAGTTGAACCCTCGACAATCTTGTGGAATCTCCGCATTTTATGGTTTGGGTCATGAACCCTTTGACCCATGTTGAAGGCGCACTGTCCCCAAGCGGAACATAGCGGCGGGCAGCAACCCTGCGGAGCACGAGGCAACGCAGGAGAGGCAACACAACTGCACAACGCCAAAAACGGCTGCAAGGAATGACACGGCACGCAGGACAGGCAGCGCCACAACCGTCCAGTCAAGCACAAGGCAACACCACCAAGCGGACGAACAGCGCAGCAACCATGTGGCGAAGCACAAGGCAACACCAACAAGTCAACCGGACTACAAGGTGCGCAAGTGAAGGACACGGAAGGCACGGCCAGCGGAAGGGCGGCAAGGCAGCGGAGCAGCGAAGCGCAAGGCAACACCAACAGCACGGCCACACCACATAGCAAACACAACAGCTTGCCAAGAGCGACCTGTGAAGCAAGCAGGACGGGAAGCAAGGCAGCGGTGGAGCGCAGACGAGGCAGTCCACACATCCAACACAGAGCAAAGCGGCACAGTACCTACTCACATCACGGATGAACCCCGCAGACTGTTGGTTCCCACCACCCACTGAGCGAGGGAGCCACTTCGACGAGCGTCAATCATCACCCACAGGCGACACAGACATCCCGAACTTAGTGCCCCCCCTAAGAGTGCTGTAGGCACTCCGAAAGTGGAATGACCGACTGTTTGGCACTGCTTAAGGGTGCTCAGTTGGGCGGACAAAAATGCATAGGAAAAATGGGAGAAAGGCAGAAAAACAAGCATACCAAAAACTGATTGTGTGTGTGCTTATGTATGTATGATATGCCATGACTCGTTTGCCTGCGTCACACATTTCTCCGATGAAAGATCACCGGTGCACCTTGTACTCCGTAACCGTGCAGGTATGGCAGGAGCGACATTTACCATGGCAAATGGGTAATTTCACATTCTTCCTGGTCTCATTGCTACCTGGCGACGAAGGGCTCATCCCCTTATGCAGACAGCACACAGGCACACAAGGCAGGCAGACGACAACAACCAGCAGACAATGAAGTCAAGGGGCAGAGAGGCAATGAGCTGTTGGATGACAAGGCACATAGAGGAAATGGCACACGGGGAAAGCAAAAAAAACTTGAGACAACACATAGGTTGGAGGGCACGGGGGAGGCGGGAGGGAAGCCGACACACAAACACAAGGCAGGGAAACGACAACCAGCGTACAAGGCAAGCGCCAAAACCAAAAAACTGAAAAGTATAAAAACTGATGATGATAGATTGTTTCGTCGGAGTTGCACCGACTCATCAGGAGGCTGAACCCTCGACAATCTGCGGAATCTCCATATTTGATGGTTTGGGTCATGAACCCTTTGACCAATGTTGAACGCTGACTGTCCCCAAGCAGAACATAGCAGCGGGCAGCAACCCTGCAGAGCACCAGGCAACACAGTAGAGGCAACACGACTGCACACCACTAAAGATGACTGCAAGGAACGGCACAGCAAGCGGAAGAACAGCATAGCAACGGTGTAGTGAAGCACAGGGCAACACAAGCAAGGCAACCACACTGCAAGGGACAACAGGGCGAGCGGACAAGCAGCCTGGCAACCGTGCAGAAAAGCACAAGGCAACACCAGCAAGGCAACCAGACTACAAGGCACGCAAGCAACAAACATGGAAGGCACGACCAGCGGATGGGCGGCAAGGGAGCGGAGCAGCGAAGCGCAAGGCAACACCAACAACCTGGCCACACCACACAGTGAACACAGCAACTTGCCGGGAACCACATGTGAAGCAAGTGGGAGAGGCAGCTAGGCAGTGGCAGAGCGCAGACAAGGCAATCCACACATCCAACACGGAGCAAAGCAGCACATCACCTACGTATATCACGATTGAACCCCACAGACCGTTGGTTCCCACCACCCACTGAGCCAGGGAGTCACTCCGGCGAGCATCCGTCATCACCCACGGGCGACACAGATATCCCCAACTGAGCGCCCCCCCTATGAGTGCCGTAGGCACTCCAAACGAGGAACCACCGACTGTTTGGCACTCCTTAAGGGTGCTCAGTAGAGGGAAAAAGACAAACATAAAAATGTGTGTGTGTGTGTGTGTGTGTTTGTGTGTGTGTTTGTGTGTGTGTTTGTGTGTGTGTAAGTGTGTGTGTGTGTGTGTGTGTGTGAGCGAGTGTGTGTGTGTGTGTGTGTGTGTGTGTGTGTGTGTGTGTGTGTGTGTGTGTGTGTGTGTGTGTGTGAGTGAGTGTGAGTGAAGCACATTTACATTCATTCCCAGCATCGTACAAAACCATACACAATACCATGACAACACCTCAGGAGGACAATATGTATNGTGTGTGTGTGTGTGTGTGTGTGTGTGTGTGTGTGTGTGTGTGTGTGTGTGTGTGTGTGTGTGTGTGTGTTTGGATGTGTGCAAAGCACATTTACATTTATTCCCAGCATGGTACAAAACCATGCACCATACCATGACAACACCTCAGGAGGACAATATGTATCTGAGTGAGTCAAGTCATTGGATAACCCTCAAAGTCGTACAACCAAGGAAGCAAAAGTAACAAAGGAAAAGGCCACAGACCCAGCAAGCAGCCGGCAGGGGGGCACTGTGATGAATGGCAAGTGCACATAGGCTAGAGGGCACGGGGGAGGCGGGGGCAGACAAACAACGCATAACAAGGCAAACAACACAAAGCAGCAAAGCACTTAGGCTGGAGGGCATGGGGGAGGCGGCGGGCAGGCAAACAGCACAAGGCAGAAAAATACATAAGGTGGAAGGCATTGGGGTGGCAGGCGGGGAGACAAACACTCCAAGGCAGCAGGGAAACAGTAGCTAACCAGACAGCAGCAAAGCAAAAGTAGCAACCAAAAGAAATACAAGTATGACCAGACCAAAAAAAATAAACATGAAAGATTATTCCTCGGAGTTGCACCAACTCATCAGGAGGCTGAACCCTCGACATTCTGCCGAATCTCCGTACTTGATGGTTGGGGTTATGAACCCTTCGACCCATGTTGAAGGCAGCGGGCAGCAACCCTGTGGAGCACCAGGCAACGCAGTAGAGGCAACATGGCTGCACAACGCCAAAGACGACTGAAACGGATTGCAGGACACACAGCGCGGCAACCACGCAGTAAAGCACAAGTTAACACCACCAAGGCAACCACACTGCAAGGGACGGGCAGGGCAAGGAGGAGCAGCACAGCACCCATGCAGTGAAGCACAAGGCAACGCCAACAAGGCAAGGAAAAAGGACAGTTGCATGTGAGAAGAAATTCAAGAAATCCAGTTCCCCCCCCCCCCAAAACAAAAAAAAAAAGAATCCACCTATCCCCTTTGGAATAGAAATGGCGGTGAGCTTTTTTACTATGGAAGGGATTCAGATTCCAACTTCTTAGCTCTGTACTTTTGGTTCTAATTAAATTATGCCCCATTCAACCACCAGGCATATGCAGCAAACCCTACTAAAAATAGTAAAAATGCTAGGCTGGTCCCCGTGCCGCCTGGCGACCTGGTCGTCGCCTGGGGGATGGAAGCCGGGCCGCCTGGCCGGTTGTCCCGCTCGGTTCGCCATCCGGTGATCCCAGCGCATTGAAGAAAGGGGGGAAGGGGATTCAATTTTTTTCAGTTTTTTTCGGTCTCCTCCTCCTCCTCCTCCCGCCTGCAATAAGTCTTTGACATACCAGCAAGACAGTCGAAATGCACCTGGCTTTACCCCTGTCTCTTATACACATCTAGATGTGTATAAGAGACAGGCACTATACTTGGCACCAGTCAGTTACTGCAGTTAAACCGGTACGTGGTGTTTTCTTTCCCTACTAATACAAGGAAGTGGCACCAGTTAGTTACTGGAGTTAAAACACTGGGTGATGTTTTCTTTCCCAATTAAAAGAAGGTGGCACCAGTGATTTACTGCAGTTAAACCACCAGTACTTGGCCCAGCCATTGGCCGCGGAAAAAAATAGAGTAGAAACATTTTTAGTTGGATGAATTTTGGCGCTCCTGTAGTGGCCCGTACATTTCCTAAAATCGCGTAGCATTAACGGGCGCGACTTTAGGAAGTACTGGCGGTTTAAAACTGTAAGATGGTTCCCGACTGATAGAAGGAGGTGGCACCAGTGATTTACTGCAGTTAAACCGCAACTCTATCAGACACCTGAAAATTGGTCTTCCGGTGAGTTAGGGCGGGTTTTTAAGGGGAGGGTGCAACCGGAAGGCACAGGCGGGGCCACTCTCGCAATTTTCAAGCGCCAAATTTGGTGATTTTTTGCGCTCAGAAGAATTGAAAAACAAATCTGAAAATTTGGTGACGTGTAGATCAGGTCGTCATCTTTCCAGGAAAGATATCATAAAGATTGTTAATACCATAAAATAAATGTCGTGCCAATTCGTCACATTTTCCATTTTTGCCACTCTACAACTTGTGGGCCAACGGGAAAA